AGTACAGAAAAAGGTTACATATGACTATGCACATTGCTAAACTTTAGTCGAATGGTTTCTTAAATCAAGTAAGTTGCAATCTGTGTGAATCCTTCCCATAGGACTCCTTCAAAGGTTTCATACCAAGACCAACTTAAAAACCATCTGTATCTGGGTCATTCTATAATTAAGAGTATTTGGCATTTGATAGTGAGAAGAAAAACAGTCAATTTTCACAAATATGATCTAACATGACTAATCCAATATTTCTAAGCCTGTACTATCCATTTTGATAAGGCTTTGTCGATTTAATGAATAATGAATTTGATGTAAGTTATTTCATGTTTTAGAAGTTTGCCCCTTAACATCAGCTCCTTAGCTGCTGCTAGTTTTATGTGCAGGAATGTCTGCCCTGGAAGAGAGGTCATGGGAAGAATCAATAATTCAGTTCAATTTAAACGTATTTGTATGGTGCTTTCACAATACAAACAGCTCCAAAGCAGCTTTGCAAAGAAAGGTGCCTTCCAATCCCCACTGTACAAGCCAAAGGCGGAGGTGGTATGGGAAAAACTCCTTTCAAAATATGAAGGCTAGATGAGGACAAAATCTCAGCAGGAAACTTGGCTTATTGTATTCTGTTGTATTTTTAGCCCATTTATATACTTTTTTGGTATTCATATAGCTCATGCATTTATCCACATTGACTTAGAATTTAGCAAAAGATTCAAAACATCACTATATCGTTTGCTTATATATGATTCTGAGAAAATCCCAGATAAGTTTGTGATATTCAGCAGAGGTTCGGGATGTATCCCTTTTAATATTCTGGATATGCATGGTTTTGATGATGTTTGATATGTTTGGTAAATTCATCTTGCCCTTTTAAATTAAAAGACTGCATGCTCTGTTCGGGTCTAATATGAGATGTTGCCATCCAAATTTCTATGGCAGTTGGTTGTCCATTGGTTGCATATTTCCATTTAGCTTTCATGCCTTTTTTTCTTTTCAGCAATGAAAATTGATCTATTTCAGCTGCGTCAGTATTACCTACGTCAACAATAAGGATCTACACTGTTAAAGCACAGCTCTCATTCATTACTCATACTGTCACTGAACAAAGCTTCAGGACAAACTTGCCTATTGATATCACATGAACACAAAAGCCTTGGGCACCTGGTTTGACTCATTTTCAGCTATAAATTTTAAGGTTCTAGTTTGAACCAAACAGTTTTTTTTCTGTCTGATGGAAAACATTTATAAGTTCCACTAAGATTTATTTTCTAGTTTTTCAGGACAAACATGCTGCTGAAGAAACCAATACACTAGCCCTAAAAAACCTATAATGAAAATTCTTCATTTTTAATGAAAAAAAGAATGTTGTTAATCCGGTATAATATGCTTAAAAACAAACCATGTGTAAATTCATCAGCAAGCACCATTGCTGAAATTTCTGTGTACAATGACAATCTCAAAAACACAGTTTTTTGCGGGGTGGGACTTTTCATATCATCAGCTATCTGAGATAGCAAACAGGAACAAGGTTTGTAACATTAGCAACACATTATTAGCTGTTTTATAACGTAGTCAAGTCAAAGGCTAATGGTATTAATTACTATTACGTGTTCAACGCTGTAGAGAGAAACACATAAAATGCATTACCTTTCTAATATTAAATCGTCACATAATTCACTCTTCTGTCTTGTTTTTTGGAATCAGTTAACCTAGTGAAAGACAAGATAGTATGGATTTAAGGAATTTAACACAAGTCTGTATTGTGTTATGTGTGTACTGCTGACTACAAAACAAATACACGTATACTAAATGAGGTAAGGGTGTGGAGTTATATTCAAGCCATTTTAAGACATCAAAGGGAAAAATGGTTAAATACGTAATTTTGATTATAAAAGATGAGTTTTAAGGGTTAAAATTAGTGACTTGAGGGAGATTTTAAAAGAACCAAGAAACCAACTTGAGAGCCCAAGCAAAAAAAAAAAGTTAATGTCTAACATGCTGCAAAGAAAGCAGCATCTTGAAGAACCTTTAAGGAGAGAAACACATAAAATGCATTACCATTCTAATATTAAATCGTCACATAATTCACTCTTCTGTCTTGTTTTTCGGAATCAGTTAACCTAGTGAAAGACAAGATAGTATGGATTTAAGGAATTTAACACAAGTCTGTATTGTGTTATGTGTGTACTGCTGACTACAAAACAAATACACGTATACTAAATGAGGTAAGGGTGTGGAGTTATATTCAAGCCATTTTAAGACATCAAAGGCAAAAATGGTTAAATACGTAATTTTGATTATAAAAGATGAGTTTTAAGGGTTAAAATTAGTGACTTGAGGGAGATTTTAAAAGAACCATGAAACCAACTTGAGAGCCCAAGCAAAAAAAAAAAGTTAATGTCTAACATGCTGCAAAGAAAGCAGCATCTTGAAGAACCTTTAAGAAAGTGTAAAATAGTGAATGTGCTTGAACAGTAAAAGTTCAGTAAAAAATGTATGTTTTTTTTTCAGTTGTTGCAGGTGTCTTCTCAGCTTTTTGGGTTTCACTTAGCTTGTTTTATGTATTCTCAGGAACATGATAATTAATGTGGTTTGCAAATTTATTACAAGTCACAACAGAATGGTTTGAAATTATTATAAGACGGTTTACACATTTATCAGTAATATTCAACAACAATTTGTGGATAAAAAAAATAAACATTGTAAATGAACATAATATGTTTATTACTGCTCCACATAACCCAGAACAGACAACATAAGGACACACAATACAATATCATTATCATGCACAACAAGAGAAAATAACTGCTTTTCCTTTCTTCATAAACACACTGGCGTCATGCATTTAAATAAGGTTTTAACACTGTCACCTCTTCGTTAGATTAATGTCAACAGTTCATATAAATAACATATCATATTCACATCATGATGCAGCAATGTTTTTTCTCAGTGTAATCTCTTAATCTTTCTCTTCAGCAAATATATATATAATGGATAGAATGAGAAAATCAGGGCAGACAATACCTAAATAAATTTTAAACCCTACTGCAAAACCATCAGGCACAGTTGTAGCGTCAATGCATACCTAATGTTTCCATCTGAGAATATATATATATATATACATATATAGACTCTTCACCCATGACATATTGACAGAAAGAACTCACTCCCCTTTCATTTTCCTCCTCGCTACACTTTCCCGCAGGGCTATTGCATTTACTGAAGTTGAAAATCTAGGTCATTAAGGCCTAAGTACATCCTATAGTGACACGGCAAACACAAGAAGCACAACTAGTGGATGTCACGTGACTCTCTCAGAAATACACACTCGAACACACAGCAATGATCATGGATCTGTTGATTATAGAGCACTGTCAGAGCACGTAACGTCACATCAACAGAAATGATAGTATCCACCTGACATTAAAATGAGGAAAGCTTTACAGTTTGTCAGTCTCCAGTTGGACTTAAATACCCTGTGACAAAAGAAGCACCTTCCCTGAGAAGTATGATGTAAACACATTCATGAGTTACTCATGCGTTAATCAAATATAATTTTAAAGCTAAATAGTTTGCTGTAATTGCAAGGGAAATTACGGTATGGTGTCGGCCTCAGTGCAGTGTCACTTCATAAATTTGTTGGTATTCATAATGTAAAGTGTGGTTCTAGCACACATACAGTATATTTATGTATGTCTGAATAGACACTCAAACGTACAATATCAAAGTATTGACAGAATGCAAAATGCAGCACTCTACATATGAAAATAAAGATACTAAGACCTTTTAGATTTTTCAAATATTGAATTCATTGGTGTATTTATTAGTATTTATGTCTCTATACTTTTCTGTGCGATTTCTGGTGCTGTATTGTAATTTTGAAGGATTTTCTAGGATGATTAAACAATATACACACTATCGTTCCTAAGAGATTTTTTTCCTCGTCATTAAAAGTAGTCTCTTATACTCACCAAGGCTGCATTTATTTGATCAAAAATACAATAAAAACAGTAATATTGCAAAATATTAGTATATTTAAAAAATTATATTTTAATATATTTTATTTTTAAATATTTATTTTTGCTAAATTTTCAGCAACCATTACTCCAGTTTTCAATTATTCTTCAGAAATCGTTCTAATATGCTGATTTGGAGCTCAAGTAACATTTCTTCTTATCATTAATGCTGAAAACAGCTGCTGCTTAATATTATGCTTAATATTATTTCGTAACATTATAAATGGTTTTATTGCCATATTGACCAATTTAATGCATCCTTGCTGAATTAAAGTATCACATTTTTTTATGGTAGTGTATACAACAGTATACTGAGACTAAAATTATTGTCACCATGCATTTATCTGTCTATTACACTTATATTTTTGAAGAGTGGTTAGGTTTACGTTAGGGGTGGGCTTCAAAATATGTATAGTTATAAAATGTACTGTAAATATACATTTATAAAACTATATACAAAGGATTCATAAAGATTTTTACAATTAAAACGCTGCACATATTTTAGATGTTGTCGATACATTCATATTGTACATTTCAGCCTACATCCAAACACACAAAACAATGTATATGTATACACCATAAATACAGATTCTAATGAGTTCAGGCTGCCCAGTAATACTAGCACAGACTTCAAGTGCAAGATCTCTTGGGTTTCTGAATCCATCCAATAAAAATTCTACACATTAAACGATGGCATCTCAAGGTCTGGGTTAGGATTCCCGAAAAGGTATGAACACATCCAATTAACACCAGACAATTATTCAAGAACCAGTGTACATGAATTTGCATTTGTACTATCTCAAAATGCTAAATCCACACATCTTATTTGTTTGTAGATGAAACTAATGTCTTCAGCAATTCAAGAGCGATGCCCTTTGTGATAGCAGGTGGAGATGCTGCAGATGAGATGTAAAAAACCCTTGATGTAAATGACATTTTCAACAAAAGCCACAAGTAGAAATGGTCTAATTAATCTGCAATGTGATTGGCGTATTTAGTAAAGAGCAAATGATTACAAAACATAATCACCTGTATCAGGAAAATAGATGGGTATTAAATATAACTGAGTAATTGAGGCAGCTCATCAGTGAATGAATCAAAAGATGCGACACACTTGGGCTCAATTGGAATCTGTCTAACGCTGTTGAGGAGAACAGGCAGGAGTGTGTTTTTGTCTCATTGTTCTTGCGAGCAGCTAGACAGCCAGTACAAGGCCTGCCTTGTCACATCCGTATCTTTAATCAAATGACACGTTCAAGGCTGGATTGGTAGGGTTGCCACTATTCCTTGTTTTCACTGTCAGCTGGCTTCTTATCTTCCCCACTCACCGCATTCTTCTCCGGGTTAGCTCCTGGACCAGTCTGGGTCACTCTTTTCATGCGAAATGGGGATGGTGAGCATTTCAATGAGCCCGTCATGATGGAATTATTCTCTGACTCTGTCAGTACAACCACGTTGCGACAGTAGCGCTTCAGTCCTTTGCGAAAATGGATGGTGAAGAGGCCATAAGTGATGGGATCCAGAATCGCATTAAAGAGTCCAAAAATAAACAGTATGTGAGTGAGTGAATGAGAAACAGTCTCTTCTAAATCCTCAGGAAGGAACCAGTACCAGAGACCCAGCAAGTAGTATGGTGTCCAGCAAACTATGAAAGAGGTCACTATGACTATGCTCATTTTCAAGGTCCTCATACGGGCCTTTGGGATGTTGCTGTTGGAACGCCGTAAGTGGACTTCCTTTGACGATACTGTAAAAGCAAGAAGATTTTTTATAAATGTGCAGTGAAAATATAATTTTTACAAGTATTTTACTTCACTACAGTATTTAAAGGGATAGTTTCCCCACCAATGCAAATTCTGTCATAATTTACTCACCCTCAAGTCATTTAAAACCTATATGACTTTCATTTTTCTGTACAGCTCAATAGTAGATATTCTAAAGAATTTATTAACTGAAATTCATGACTTCGTATAATGAAAGTCCAACATAATTGGACCCCCCTTTGGTGGAGACTCATTTGGAGTCTCTTACGGACAAAAAAACACTTTTTCAGAATATTTTTTTATGTTCCACAGAAAAAGTCATACAGATTTGGAACGACACTAGAGTAAGTAAATGATGACAGAATTTTCAAATGTTTGTACTTAATCAAGATGGTGCCAAACACGGCTGCCATGGTGCTTAGCTCTCCAGATGTTTTACTGTTTTTGTTAGTTTTTCCTGTCTTTTGTTTATCAAATACAATCAGTTTCACCAGGGATGAACTGCTGAACATTCGGCAGAACACACCACGCAATCTTCTACTGGTTTTCGATTATTCGGATGTTTAGCTGAACACTGTAGTTGGCGGAACAGCGGTGATGATCAAAAGCTTTAAGAAGTGCAAATGGGGGAAGCGAGCCGGCGTGCTCGTGAAGCTCAGACAGCGCGGATTTCGAACGGCACTGCCTAGCTTACATCTGGCGGATCTCCGCTCTCTAACCAACAAAACAGACAAACTTATTCTGCTCTCCCGGAAAAGTAATGCTACTCTGTGTTTCACTGAAACCTGGCTGAATCATGCCATTCCGGACAGCGGGTTAAGTCTGCTGGGCTTCCAGCTGTTCAGAGTGGATTGTGGCGCAGAATCAGCGGGGAAATCGTGTGGCGGCGGGACATGCTTCTACATCAATTAAAGGTGGTGTACAGATGTAACAGCATTGAAGAAGTTGTGCTGTCCCGATCTAGAAGCACTCTTCATCAGCTGTAAGCCTTTCTACTCACTGCGGGAGTTTTCCTCGTTCATTCTCATAAGTGTCTACATTCCACCGCAAGCGCACGTGAGCTCGGCTTTGCAAAAACTCGCAGATCAGATCACAGACACAGAGCAACAACACCTGGACTCTGTTATAATCATTCTAGGGGACTTTAAAGGCCAATTCACACCGCACCGACAAACGCCGACAAATGCCAACAGACACGTTGGCCGCTGGATTTAGAATTTTCCACGACCCAACAAATGCCGATTAAACATGTTCAGTCAGGTTAAAACCAACTCCGACCAACGCCAACAAATGCCGACAGGGGTAACACACTGATCCAACAAACTCCGACAGACTAGTCTGTTGGCGTTTGTCAGCGTTTGTCGGTGCGGTGTGAATTGGCCTTAATAATGCAAATCTCTCCCGTGAACTGGCAGAATACAGACAGCACGTTACATGTCCCACCAGAGACAGTAATATATTGGATCACTGTTACATCACAATAAAGGATGCATAGCACTCTGTTCCACGGGCAGCTTTGGGGCTCTCTGATCACTG